GGGCCCCGCCACCCCCGCTCCCCGGAGCCCTCTGCACCCCCATACCTGGAAGTTCTCGCGGACGTCCTTCATGCTGCCCTTGACAAAGAGCTCGCGGGACTCCTTCTCCAAGGGCGGCCCCCCCACGTACAGGCCGTGCACGTCCGCCAGGTTGTTGACGCTGCTGATGTCCAGCCAGTCCCAGGAGGAGATCTGAGGGGCCGGAGCAAGGGACACGGCGGCTCAGCTGGGCCTCAGGCCTGACCAGCGGGCGGTGAAGGGGTCCCCAGCCCCCCCGCAGGGGTCCTCACCGCTGGGCCGTTGCCTTTGCCCTGGGACTTCTGGGCTCGCTGTGTGAACTGCCGGGCCTTGTGCTTGCCCTGCTTGGCCGCCATCCACAAGCTGCGCTGGAAGCTGCTCAGCCCCGAGATGGCCATGTGCATGCTCATGGTGTCCAGGAAGCGCATGCGGGAGCCCTGAGGACAGGCTGCGGCTGAGGGGCCAGCCCGCCCGGGCTCCTCACCGCTCCCTCCCCATCACACCGCTTCCCACGCCTTCATGCTTGTGCACGCCTGAGCCCTGGACCTGTGAGGGGCCGGCCCCCCCAAATTCTAGCCACCCTGAAGGTGCGGACCTGGCTCCATCCCAACACACAAGTCCTCCCAGCAGCCAGCACAGCTCGGAGGGCACCCTGGGCACAGAGTGGCCAAAGCAAGGCCTTCTGAGCTCTCAGGCGCAACCCCAGCCCCGCCACTCACAAGCTCCGTGGCCCTGGGCAAGTGGGCAAGGCTGGGCCTCCGCACCCTCAGCCACGGGGTAAGGCTGCGTCCTCCGCGCTGCCCTTCCCCGGGACTGTCAGGAGAACACAATGATAAAGCACTTTCATAAGTTAAGAATTGTCACAACTAGCCCTGGCTGGTTTGGCTCAGTGGATAGAGCATCGGCCTACGGACTGAAGGGACCCGGGTTCGATTCCAGTCAAGGGCACATGCCCGGGTTGCAGGCTCAATCCCCAGTAGGAGGTGTGCAGGAGGCAGCCGATCCATGATTCTCTCATTGTTGATGTTTCTCTCTCTCTCTCTCCCTCTCCCTTCCTCTCTGAAATCAATACAAATATGTTTTTAAAGAAAATAATTGTTTTAAAAATTGTCACAACTGTACAACAGGCATGTATCTGACATGCACATTGGTCTGACCCTCCGAACAGGCCTATGAGACAGCTGCGGTCCCCTCCCTCCTCTTTTTTTTTTTTAAATATATTTTGATTTTTTACAGAGAGGAAGGGAGAGAGAGAGAGAGTTAGAAACACAGATGAGAGAGAAACATCGATCAGCTGCCTCCTGCACACCCCTCACTGGGGATGTGCCCGCAACCAACGTACATGCCCCTGACCGGAATCGAACCTGGGACCCTTGAGTCCGCAGGCTGACGCTCTATCCACTGAGCCAAACCGGTTGGGCGCCCTCCCTCCTCTTACGAAGAAGGAAACCGGGGCTCAGGGAAGCTGAGGAGCTCACACCGCTCATCCATGGCTGAGGCAGGATGGAGCCCCGGCTGCGGGGCCGGAGCCCGCAAAGACGCACGCTGAGCTCCCACAGGCCACACAAGGAAGGGCCATTGTCCTGTGACAACCAGGTCCCGGAACAGGCTGGTCGACAGTGCGTCCCCCCATCACCGAGACCAGGGCTCCCAGCCCGCTGGGCTGGCCCAGGACCCTCACCTGGATCCGGTACTGCTCCCTGATGTGGGCGCGGTCAAAGGAGACGTTGTGCCCCACCACTAGCTGCTCCTGCCCGGCACTGGCGGGGGCCTCCAGGGGGATGAGGTCAGCCGGCGACAGCTGGCTGGTCCAAGAGTAACGCTCTTCCACCAGCCGCAGGCTGCACCAGGAATACCTGAGGGAGGAGAGGCGGGCAGGGTCAGCCAAGAGGCTTCAAAGTTCCGCCCCACGGCACCCCCTGCAGACCCGCCACCGAGGCCAGGCCACACTTGACAGAGGTCAAGGTTGGATTCTCTGTCAGGGCACGTGCCTGGGGTTGTGCTCCATCCCCATAGGGGGACACCAGTGAGACGGATGGGTGCCCCGAACCCTCACAGAGCGAGGCCAGGTGGGGCGGGGCGGGGGTATGTGTTGGCGGTGGTCGCAAGAGCCCCTGCACTCGCGCAGGTAAGGAGGGTGCCAATGCCACAGCCCGGGGTCTGGGTCCGGCCCTAGCTCCGCCCAGGTGTGCACCGACCCCGAGCTCGGCTCTCAGGTGCTTTAGAAACAGGCCCCACCCCTCACGTCTGCAAACAGGACAGCTCGTGCTCCAAGCGCCCGTACGTGAGAGAAGCAATTCGAATAGAATCCAAAGTGGAAATGATGGGGTTTTTTGTTTGTTTTGTTTTTAAATATATTTTTATTGATTTCAGAGAGGAAGGGAGAGGGAGAGATAGAAACATCAGTGATAAGAGAGAATCACTGATGGGGTGTCTCCTGCACACCTCCTACTTGGGATGGAGCCCACAACCCGGGCATGTGCCCTGACCGGGAATTGAACGTGACCTCCTGGTTCATAGGTCAACACTCAACCACTGAGCCACACCGGCCAGACTGTGAAAGTGGCAAAAAAAAAAAAGACAAATGCTGCATTCATATACGGCTGAGTCATCCGACGGCTGGAATGATTCTAAAGGATGAAGAGCAAACCACACACCCCGGAGGGTCTGTGCCTCTGAGCGGCCTCGCTCAGTGAGAGCAGCGACAGTGCCCGAGGAAATGTCTGCGCTGCCCGGGGCGGGGGAGGGACGGGGATGTCCGGACAGGGATTCGGAAACGGCTGGAGTCTGCTCAGGGGCCACGAGGCTGAGCATGCGCAGACGGCCTCGGAGGAAAAGCCCGCTGTGCACACAGGATGCCAAAGGGTCAAGGCCGGTCAGCATCAAAGTGAGTGACGAGGCCACATGTGTGGCCGCCACAGCTGCAAAAGCGCTCCCTGTACCCTGACGGGGAGGAGGAGGGGCAGCCTGCCGACAGCTCCAACAGACGTGTGTGTGGGCGGGGGTCAGCAAAAAGAGGTCCCCCGTGTTAAGCCTGGTAAAATCCAGCTCCCACTCCAAAGGGTGGGGAGACGCTCAGGGACTCAAGCTGGAAACCTCCCCCCCTTGCCATGGAGCGTGTGAAACAACACAGAGGAAAAGGCTGGAGAATGTCAAATGTGTGCGGCCATGGCGATGACAGGAACTTTAGTGGTAATAAAAAGTCATACTGGCCCGGCCGGTGTGGCTCAGTGGTTGAGCGTCGACCTATGAACCTGGAGATCAAGGTTGGACTCTCTGTCCAGGCATATGCCTGGGGTTGTGCTCAATCCCCAGTAGGGGGCGTGCAGGAGGCAGCCGACCCATGATTCTCTCTCATCATTGATGTTTCTATCTCTCCCTTCCTCTCTGAAATCAATAAAAATATATATATATATTTTTTAAAAGTCATACTGGCGACAAGATCCAGGTTGGCAGCTGTGCAGAGAGCCACCTGCATATGAATGTACTTGTGATTTTTTAAAAAGCCAAAACACAAACACCTTTGGTGAATGGAAGATGAGTCGGAACAAATGCCAGTAATACTGTGAGTCTTGGATGAGTGTTGGCGGCCTGCGGATTGCCCCTCTAGTCTGAAGACCAAAGCCCTGAGCAGCAGCCTTCGGGAAACTGCCCTGAAGGCTGCCCAAGGCTCCCCCCCCCCGCCCCCCAGCCCACTGGAAATTGAGGGCTGGTCGGGTACCTGACGTTACTTGACCCAGCCATGCAGCAGGGATGGGCCCCGGTTAAGAGCTAGGATGGCCCCACGAAGCACCCCCACCCCCACCACGCACACCCTCAGGAGGGGCGTCCCAGTGAAGCACCCCCACCACGCACACCCTCAGGAGGGGCGTCCCAGTGTCAGCCCAGACCTCTGTGCCCTCCACACATCCCCAGGAGGAAGGACCAGGCCTCTGTGCCCAAGCAAACGGAGCGATGCCCCCAGACCCACTGGCTAGAATGGAGCGAGAATGAGAGGCCGGTGGGCAGCACAGGGAGAAACAAGTGAACAGTTTGGAGAGGAAAGAGGCGGAAGTGAAAAGGGGACTCCAGTTAAATGATCAAAATACAAGCCTTTCTTGCCAATGGTTTCCTAGTTTTCTTTCAGCCGCCGCAGCCTACGTCACCTTCTCGAACGAGGGACGGTACCCGCTCTGTGACCATCGAGTTACACGAGCGCTAGATTCTCCTCGTAACTAGAGCTACATCCACGAGAAATCATCTAGTTCCTGCCCTTAATGCCTCTCTTCGCCACTCAGCCACGTCTCCCCCATTTTCAGCTGCATATTTAACACTTCGCAGCTTTCTTCACAAAGAAGTCGCTTCCAGGAGAAATAAAGAAACTGCCAACTTTTTTGCCGGCCAGGCCCGGAAGCATGAAGGCTGTACACAGTGTTTTAATCCTGGAATGAAGGCTGAAAAGGGGAAGGACGGAGCTGCCATCACTGTTCGAGAAGCGTGCATGGCACTTAGAAAGTTACTTAAAAAGAAAAGGAGACAAAATTAAAAATAAATAAAGTAAAAAAAGAAAAGATTAGCTATACCTTTTGGGGGGAAATGCCTGCTTGGGAGGGTGAGGAAAGCAGCATGTCTCAACTGGGGGTGCTCAGGGGGACGCTACCTCCAGAGAACATTGGGAATGGGGGTGAGGGGGTGTCTGGCATTTAAGGGAGCAGCAGGGATGCTTAAATGTCTTATCCCGCCTAGGACAGTCCCCCCAACGGGAGCTCTCTCCTGCCCAAAATACCCCATAGCGTCCCCCGAATAGAAACACTACTTGTCTTAGGCCCGTGGTCGGCAAACCGAGGCTCGCGAGCCACATGCGGCTCTTTGGCCCCTTGAGTGTGGCTCTTCCACAAAATACCACGTGCGGGCGCGCACGGACAGTGCCATTTGCGCAGAAGTCGGTATTTCGTGGAAGAGCCGGTATTTTGTGGAAGAGCCACACTCAAGGGGCCAAAGAGCCGCATGTGGCTCGAGAGCTGCGGTTTGCCGACCACTGTCTTAGGCTAACTTCTCAGGAAGCCATCAGGAGAGGGGAAGAGAGACCCCCACCAAGGGGACCGGTCAGTCTCCCAGACAGCACTCCACTGTGTTTCTCCACAAACCCCTGCCACCACCTGCCATCTGCGTGGGTGTGTGTCTGTGGCCTCTACCTTCTCTCGAGGAAAGCGGGGGTCAAGCCTATCTCATTGTTTAAAAATATCTTTATTGATTTCAGAGAAGAAGGAAGAAGGAGCGAGAGAAACATCAATGATGGATCGGCAGCCTCCTGCCCACAACACAGCATGTGCCCTGACCGGGAATCGAACCACAACCTCCTGGTTCATAGATCAACGCTCAGGCACGGAGCCCACCGCGCATCCGCAGTCGCTACAAAAGCGCCCACCGGGGGACACCCCGTGGGAACTCAGTAAATGCTCCCTGAACCCAACTAGTAAGGTGGGCGCCCCAGGTGCGGTCAAGTCCCCCGACCCCAGCCCAGCCCAGCCCGCACTCACCAGGCCGAGGGGGATATGGCCACCGCCAGCGTGGGGCAGGTTCCCTCTGCCAAGCAGACCTCCACGTCGAACACCAGGGCCCGCTCCTCGGGGATGGCCAC